CTGCTGTTTTCACTTTTGCATAAGTATTACGCGCTGTGGCTATGCTTGAACAAAATGCATGTTCCCAAAGATATGCTAGAAAAGGGAGAGAACTAATGTGGTACTTACAAAATTTGAACAAAAAACCAGACCTCCCCACTTCACTCCATCTCTGAGTGTGAAGCAGGCTCTATTTATGGTCTGGATGCTGAGTTAGTGGTCTTAATCTTTTAACACTTGCTGCTCTGAAATGAAATGATCCAAATGCTCCAATCAAATGTGTCGTCAGCTGAAACAAATATAATGCACATCGTGGAGCACTTTAAGCCCAGTCCATTATCTACCCTAAATCAACATGCTTTATATTGGTGGCTTGTGATGATCAGGTAAAACTGATCTCTGTAAATACCCGAGATGTGGGTTTGTGTGTTTTCAGATGTGCAGCGTTTTCTCCTCCCATACCTCGGCCTGAAAGGATTATACTTCGTGGGCTACTTTGTTTTCGGTGTGGGCACCAGCCTGATCAGCCTCTTCCCCAACATCATCACCACACTCATCCTCTGCAGCGCGTTTGGCGTCATGTCCAGCACACTCTACACTGTCCCATTCAACCTGATAGCAGAGTACCACCGTGAAGAGGAGGTACTAGGCTGGCAGCTGAAATGTTTTTGATGGTGGTGATGAATAGGGGCAGAAGAAAAAAGAGAAAACACTGTGCTCAACAAGAGACAATAAAGAGAGTGTATGTGACAAAAAACTAGAAGAGGAGTCTACACACCAAAATCAGTTAGGAGGTTTCTTTTATTCAGATTTCAATGGTAAATTTAGTATATTAGAAAAATGCACAGTATCAATTGTATACAGTCAAGCCACTGGCAAAATTGTGCATCATGTCATCTGCATGCAGCTGATTTGCTGGGTCCAGTTTCTCAAAAGCATTTGATTCTTTTCTTTGTCATACATGAGCTGAATATGATGGCATGTTGGTCCGACAAAACAAGATAAGCACAGACACGAGGCTGGGTTGTGAGAAATTATTACAGGCATTTTCAAAATTTTCTAGGCAAAGAAATGAAATAAAACCCTCAGTAATGAAAATATTTGCTGTCCATATTTCCAGCCATCCCCCCCCCTCCCCGTGCAAAAGTTGAACAGAAGGAACATCCTACCAGGTTTGACTGTCCCAGCAGCTTTTGTCTTTATAGGGTTGAGGTGCACGAAAATAATTGAATGACAAAGTCTGCATTTATGGATTTACTCAGTCATTAGTACGAGTCACCCTGAGTCTGAGTAGTGCTCATCAAGTTTATGATGTTCATGTGTACAATTGATTTGGAGTCCCCTTTAATTCAATTTACATTGGTACACTAGAATAAGCCACTTATCATATATGAAAACTACACAAAACACACACACACACACACACGGTCTGTCAATCAATTATATAAACATCCAGATTTAGACAGACTCTTACAAAGGTTCTCTTAGTTTGTTCGACCTGTGTAGTTCATTCCAGATACTGGCACCACAACACTGAGGACTGCTCTTGAACACAACATTTTTGGCAGCAGATATATCCTGGAGATGTGGATCCCACCTGTCAACATAATTTGTGTTGCTCATGTTCAAAACTCACTGCCAAATCGCTGGCATTTAGGAGACTATGTTCTAATATCGGGAAAGGGTTCAAAATAAGACTTTCAGTTTCAGTGAATAATCCAAACAGGTTTATACTAATAAATTAATAATAAAATATATTATCTTCCCTTGCGCAGTAGTTCAATAATCAAGTGTTTGTTGATAAATGCCTTTATTTTTCAATAACAATTATGAACATTGATAAAATCCTCCTTCCTCTTTCTTCCTCTTCTCTAAACACCCCCACCCTACCTGCTGTGATTTCAGGAACAACTAAAGCTACGTGGGAGCAATGAAAATGTGCGAGGCTCCGGGGTGGACTGTGCAGCACTCACCTGCATGGTCCAGCTGGCTCAGATTTTTGTGGGTGCAGGACTCGGCGCTCTGGTCAACATGGCAGGGGGGGGAGTGGGGCTCAGCTGCAACCATGTCCCTGTTAGGCTGCATCTTCATCGCCCTCTTTATCAGATGTGTGGAATGATTCTGATTTTTATATGCATTCTAATAGTATTGTTGTAATAAATAAAGCTTCTTTATTATATCCTTAAAGTCTTGTGATTCCTCTTATTTACCATTTGACAGTTGGCGTCTGTAATCCTGTGGGATTATGATCCTGGGAGGCACTGGCCTCAACTCAAAAGGTGGCTGCATAAACAAATGAAATGTAAATGAATTTTTAAAAATATATACAGTATGTGTGCACAAGTGTCTGATGTTTATATAGAATCTTAACATTATTTTATGCATTGATCTAACTTTTTCTCTCACAATAATTATTCTTCCGCTCATACAGGGCATCAGCCAGAGCCATCCAGTATCAGTACTCGAGTTTAAAATACCATGTGTGACACTCATCGTGAGCCCAGCTGTGTGACTTCAAAACTGAATGAATGAACGAAGCACCTGAGTGTTTCCCACACATTCTCATCCTGAACAAAAAGAAGGTGCAGCATGATGACGCACTTTACTGGCACATTAAAATTATCAACATTTGTGACACATTCAAATATGTCCTCCTTTTAAATATACACAGGAGAAATCTGCTTGTATAAAGAGCAACTGAGTGCAAAATCACAAATGCATGTGGTCAAAGTAACATTAGTGTGGACAAGCATGAGTCAGTGATAAGATCACTATAATGAAATATCTGTTTGACCTCGTTTCACCTTCTTGGTAATGCAGATCCACGTTAACACGGGTCTCCTGGCAGCTGGAGCAGTGCATTTATGTTAACTCAACCTAAATGGATGTAAAACAACCACGTACAGAGGTTACACCTGGCAGCTGGAGCAGTGCATTTATGTTAACTCAACTTAAATTGATGTACAACAACCATGTACAGAGGTTACACTAAGTGCTGTTTTGCGGGAGATCTCGCCTGTCATTGTACATAACAGCCCCCGGAGGATAAAACACCACAGCGGGCTCCACGGGCGCGCTGATGGGGACCAAGACTTGGCCTTGCTCGTCCAGTTCTGGCTTAGTGGAGGCTGTGATCGGCCTTATGGTGGTCAACGTCTGCGAAGTCATCCGCCAGAAGAGTTTCTTCAGCGCTTTCCTGAACTCTCGCCTCATAAGGCAGTACAGGATGGGGTTCAGGCAGCTGTTGGAGTGCGCCAGGCACACGGACACGGGAAAGACGTACACCTGCGTGGTGTAGTACTCATAACTGAAATAAACCACGTTGAATTTGATGAGGATTCCCCAGGCTGTCAGCGCCTGGTTGGGCAGCCAGCAGAGGAAAAATGACAAGACAACAATGGTGACAGACTTGGTGACCTTTGCGCGCCTTTTGGCGCTGGAGCTGTTGATGTTTTTGGAGGTGATGAAGCGCAAAAGGAGCAGATAGCAAACGGAGATGATTCCCAGCGGCACCACAAAGCCCAGCATCACTTTCTGGGACTGATAGAGTCCTAACCAAAGCTGCGCAGTTCCGTTGGTTTCCGGGAATTTAACAAGGCACAAGTCCTCATCGGAAACTGTGGCAGTTGTGGAGAAAACCGCGTGGGGCAGAGCGGCGGTTACAGCGGCAAACCAGATGAAAACAGTGATGCACCGCGCGGTGCAGCAGTTTGTCCGCCGCCGCCTGCGCTTGAACGCGGAGGCGAGTGACCAATACCTCGCAACGCTCATGGCTGTCAGGAAAAACACGCTGGCGTACATGTTCATGGCTGTGACATAGGAGACTATCTTACACATGGCTTTGCCGAAGAGCCAAGTAAAGTCCAGCGCGTTTTCCACCGCCCAGAACGGCAGAGTCAGGACAAACTGGAAGTCAGTGACTGCCAAACTAGTTACGAAAAGGTTGATGGAGGATTTTTTCCACACCTGTTTAGACTTCATTAGGTACAACACGAGCAAGTTTCCAACCAAACCCAGCGCGCAAACCAGAGAGTAAATGATAGAGATAATAATCCTCACGACGGCGGCGCCATCTCCGCCAAAATCAGTTTTGTCAAAGTCTGACTGGTGGAAGTATTCACCGAATGAGCAGTTGGTGGTGTTGCAAACACAGCTGAAGTTTGAGGTTGCAGCATAGACTATCCCTGTTGAGCCTTCGTAATTAGTGTCGCTAAATTGTCCAGACATTTTAACTTGAATTCCCGACGGTGGTCAGTGAAGTCGATTCTAGGTTCAAGTGCAAAAGTCTCACCTCTTAGAAAAACAAAGTGTAAGATTTTAGGCTCTTTCGCGGATCTCCATAATATCTGCTCACATAACTGTTTTTTTCTCGATCGAATTAAACACAGAAGCGACGTTGGTGTGTAGATGACACAGCTCCTCGTCAGGTTGCCGCTTTGCTCTGAGATTTTCTCTGTGCGTCTCAGCTCTGCATCCGCGGCGTCCTGACGCAGCGCGGTCAGGCTTTGTCCTTGGTTCTGATTAGATGGCAAGTGAAGAAAAAAATCCATCTTCAGATTCATTTTATGTGGACAAATCCATCAAAGGCGCGTTGACCTTAGGTACAGCAGGCATAAAACTTTTATTTTCCTCTGCATTAACCTGCTCTGTACTTTACTCAAAACGAGTAAATACTCGTTGGACAATTTTGCAGGTAGACATCCCGGGGATGCAGAGCTGGCATGACTAAGGTTGTCACTTATACAGTATGTAGTTCATATTTCAGAATACTTATCTGTGTTTTTTATTTCAACAATATTAATGACAGAACAACCATGTGAAAAGAACATGAAACAGTTTTGTGTGATACACTGTGAAGCACGAACCTTTGTACTCAGCTATCCAGCTGCTGGCTCTGACTTCATATTGAACAAACAGATATTAAACATGGTTTCAATCTTTATGTTTAATTTTACAAAACAGATAGCCATATTGCCCCAGATAAACTATTCCTCTGACTCCTGAAAACCAGCCATGACCACAGAGCTCACTGAAATCAATCCAAGGATGATTTTGAAAATGTTATGTAAAAACCTGGTCAGTCTCTTTTGGAAGACCAGAGTGGAGCAAAATAAGAGCCTAAAACAGGCTCTTATTTTGTTGTCATTTCCTGTTTGTGGCCATGTCACCAGCCCCAGCTTTACACTGCCATTGATTGCCCTTAATTGCCTTCGCCTGTTGTTCATTTGCTTCCTTCATTGGCCTTTGTTCAGACTTTAAATTCACCTTACATGCCACAGTTAGTTTATTGCTTTGTCTAGCTGTTGTCATCACCAGCTGCTTTGTCTCCACCCCGTTTTCCACTCCTGTGTTACCTTGCCTACATTTCATTTGGACTTAGTCCCTCATGCATCTTTCTTTGCTCTTTGACCTGGTATTTTAGACTTTTGTTTTCCTTCCCTGTGCCTGGTTGGTTTGGTCTGTTCCTTGAGTGTGTTGTTTGATTTTGTAGTTGTGGCTATGGTCAGGATGAGCTTATTTAGGGGTTTTGTGTGTAGTTGCTGTGGTTAATTAGTTCCTCTATGGTTATTTGTGCCTTTCTGCTCCCTCCGTACACTCCTTTGTTTAGTTTGTGGCTCACAGTGTACACAAATACATAGAATAAAAGCAGCAACTTGCCGTCACGGGAGCTCCCTGAAGTGGTACCTGCTATTTGCTTAAATTCTTAAAGATATCAAGATTAAATCTTTTGGTGATGTCTGTGGTTACTCAAAAATTTGAACATGCTCCCCCAAATGGAACAATCAAAACACCTCCACACATACAGTAGAGTAATACTGCTTGATTCACAGAGCTCTCTGTGCTCTCCTGTAGAAATCTCAGAAGATTGTTATATGGTACAGAGAGATGCACTTGCGTTGTGTGTATGGTGAATAAAACATATACAAAGTTATTTAGTGGTTTAAAGTAGAAGACATGGAGTCCCATTTGTTGCTGTTTATTTCTAGCAAGCCGCTAGCACCCTGGGATATCATCACCCGATACTCTCTGAACTGCTGTCCATGCTTCAGTAACACAGCCCATGAGAAATGAATAGTGTTTTAGTGCAAGTAAGTCATTCCACATTAAGTATCCCGAGGCTGTGCATATTATTGCCGGGGATTTTAATGATGGTGAGTTAAAAACTGTGCTGCCTAAGCTTTATCAGCATGTGAAATGTGCCACCAGAAGAGAAAGGATATTAGACAAGGTCTATTCTAATATAAAACATGGCTACAAAGCTATACAGCTCCCACATCTGGGCCAGTCAGATCATATGTCCTTGTTTCCAGCACCAGCATATACCCCCCTCAGGAAACAAGCTCTTACCAAAATAATGCCTGTCAAAATTTGACCCGTGGGCGCCTCTCATCAGCTGCAAGACTGTTTTGAGAGAACCAATTGGGACATTTTTGACCACCCAGACCTGGAGGAGCATACGGTGGCAGTCCTGTGCTACATTAAATATTGCATAGATTCTGTTAGTGTGGACAAGCGCATCCGGGTTTGTTCCAACCAAAAACCCTGGATGACTAGAGAGGTTCGACGATTGTTACGGGAGAGGAATATAGCCTTTAGGTCTGGCGATATGAATTCATACAGCTTTGCCAGAGCTAATCTGAGGAGAGGTATCCGGCGGGCCAAACTGCATTACAAACAGAGGATTGAGGATAATATTAGTACAAACAGTACGTGGCAGGGGATTCATCATTTAACTAATCATAGATTACATCTTGCTGCTGTCGACGGGGACCCTTCACTGGTGGAGGAGTTGAACTTCTTCTTCGCCCGTTTTGAGGTGGAGCCACCAGAGACAGCTGTATTACAGCTATCAGCCCACAGCAGCCCCTCCCATAGGGTGGAGGAGTATGAGGTGAGGCGCACGCTGAGGTCTGTGAATCCGAGGAAGGCTGCTGGACCTGATGGCATCGCTGGTCGGGTGCTGAAGGACTGCGCAGATCAATTGGCAGGGGTCTTCACCAAGATCTTCAATTGGTCCTTACACCAGTTTATTGTCTCACCTTGCCTCAAGTCTTCAACCATTGTCCCTCTGCCACCAAAATCTACAAGCACCAGCCCTAAGGATTATAGACCAGTCGCACTCACCCCGGTTATCATGAAGTGTTTTGAGAAACTGGTACGCAGTCATATCACCTCATGTCTTCCATCTACACTGGATAGCCACCAGTTTGCATACCAGGCAAATAAATCTACAGAGGACGCTATTAACACCACTCTCCATACTGCTCTGTCTCATTTGGAGCAGCCGGGGAGCTATGTGAGGCTGCTGTTTGTGGGTTTTAGTTCCGCTTTTAACACCATCCTCCCTCACAGACTAGTGTCCAAACTACAGGCTCTTGGGCTTTCCAGCTCCATATGCCTTTGGATTTTGGATTTTTTGACTGCCTGCCCGCAGAGGGTTAGAGTAGGTTTGTATATGTCAACTGTCCTCACCCTCAGTACCGGCTCCCCACAGGGCTGTGTGCTGAGTCCCCTGCTCTATACCCTCTATACACAAGACTGTACCCCTACCCACCCCAGCAATACCATCATTAAGTTCGCTGATGACACTACTCTGGTGGGGCTTATCTCAAGGAACGAGTCCGCCTACAGGGATGAGGTAGAGCGGCTTTGTGGCTGGTGTCGGGAAAACAACTTGCTCCTCAACACCGCCAAGACCAAGGAACTGGTAGTGGACTTTAGGAGGAATAAAACAGACATTAAGCTATTGTTCATCGACGGTGATCAGGTGGAGAGGGTGGCTGTCTTTAGGTTCTTGGGTGTTACCTTTGAGCAGCACCTGACTTGGGGCACAAATACCACTGCTTTGGTGAAGAAGGCCCAGCAGAGAATGTATTTTCTCAGTCTTTTGAAGAAAAACAATCTGAATGAGAAACTGCTGGTGTCCTTCTATCACTGCTCAATAGAGAGCATTTTAACATACTGTGTCTGTGCCTGGTTCGCCAGTTGCACAGCTGCAGACAGGAGAGCGCTCCAGAGGGTTATTACCAGAGCCCAGAAGATTATTGGTTGCCCCCTACCATCTCTGGAAGAACTGTACAGTTCCCGTTGCTTGAAAAAAGCACAAAACATTCTGCAGGACCCATCACACCCTGAACACTGTCTGTTTGAGCTGCTGCCTTCGGGGAGAAGATACAGAACAATTATAGCAAGGACAAACAGATTAAGAAACAGTTTTTATTAGAGAGCTATTGTTGCTTTAAATGCTGCTAAAACCTTAAATTTGAATGATTGATGGGATTTTACAGGAACTGTGCAATAGTCAGATGTGTATGGATGTTGGGTTTTATTGTTTATGATTATTTTTTAACATCGAAGGATTGCATTTTTAATTTCATTGTACAATGTACAATGACAATAAAAGTTAAAGTTCAAGTAAAGTTCATGGTATTGGAGCAGAAGGAGCCACAGAGCTGTAGCAGTGAATGTACAGTTAGCTGTTTGTCCAATTGATTTGGATCAACATTGGCATTTATTTTGCATTGAAAGTTCAATATTCATTCTCCCTTCAACTCTGTATTGGGCCTTATTAATGTTTGATGAATCTACCTGGCTCTTTAGCTGCTAAATCTTTCACCCTGTTCAGTGTTGGCTTTGCCTGTAACTTATCTGCTGGCTTCTCGGAGGCTTTCTGGATGAAAGCAGCTGCTTCTGTGTGTTCTGAAGTTTGAATAGTTACCTCCACAGCAGTATTTCTTGTAGGCAGATACAACAGCAAACACCTGATTGTTGTTATTTTTGAGGAATAAAAGTGGCTGCCAGTGTTATTTATATAATCTGGCACTGTCTTGATCTGAACCAGAGCTGCAGACAGAAGGCTTTTCACATGGCAGGCAGTGATTTAATTCACTTTTAATTTAAAACATATAGCTCTATACAACTGTCAAAACTAAAAGAGTGTGATATTGTGTTGAAGATATACAAAACATATCAGAGTTTTAGTTTGGAGGGTGCAAATCAAAACCACAGATGAAAGAACATGTAAGCTGAATGTAATGCACAATGCAGAAGGTTCATTTTTTAGAAGCAGTTTTCCAGTGTTGGTCATATGAGGCAGATTTGCTGATAAGTGAATGAAAAGGAAACCAAATCTCTATCCATTAACCAGGAAGTCAGCAGTACAAAAACTCTCTCTTTATAGATGCATTTGGCTAATCCATTTGCTATTTATAGGAATCAAAATGAAAAACATTTGTCCTTTCTTCTGAGCCTATACACAACAGCTCTTCTGTTGCACTCAACATGTCAGGCCCTCTGTGAGCCTTTGCAGCACTGATGGAGAAAAATAAAAGCTGGTGACAGAAAAACTCTGCTATAAATGGTACCTGTTCCAATCACAGCTACCTGGCACCCCACTAATGGTTTCCTGATCCTCCTTGTGCTGGAGGACATTTTCACATGACAGGTGGATGAATGACAGATGTAGCATCTGCACTGTTTACCCACATAAGCTCAAAAGCTCTAATTAAACGGTCCCTTTCCAAAAGTTTCTGTTGCCAAGAAACAGATTCCCTTTTGTTAAAACTAGTGGGTGTCTGTGCCACTGTGAGCAGTGCAGCTGGGAGATTTGGGCAGATTTACTCACCCACCTTTTATATGAAAAGAAGCTTTTTATATAAGTTAAAGATGTCTAGGCCTGAACATTGTTCCTCAAAGTGTTAAAATATGCTTTTTCAATTGGACATGGTTGGAAGAAAAAGTTCACTGGTATTAGAGAGATGTTGTACATCCTATGGTTTCTCTAATGTTTGGGACGCCCAGGGTGTATGTGACAAGTGATACAAGTGTGTTTATATCTGTTCTCAATCAGTGATTGAGAAGAAAAAGCACATAATATATGATACACCTCAGTTCTGGAAAACAATAAGCTGATGATCTGTGGTAGAAATAGAATGATACATTACCACTGTTTGTAACAAGCAGTTAATATGATCATTTCTGTTTAGAGGTTCAGGTGTAGAGATGGGTAAATGAAGTAATACACCACAGCTTGAACTTGCAAGTATTGTGAGTTGAATCTGGGTGTCTGTGTAATAGAAGCTGAGAAACATTTTTTATGTGATTCCTCCAAGACTTGTGTTTGTATTATGGAATGTGATAAGGCATAATAACATAACTGTGTCATTGTAGTGATGGAATATTGTGTATATTCACTCTCTCTCTCATGTCTGGATACACATATATGGAACTATGGGCTGGGAGGCCTTTTACTCCTGGACTAAAAAATAATCTAAAAAAATCTGGTTATAACATTTTCCTTTGTTACTTATTCTAATAATATTTACACTAATTACAAATGTGCTAGAAGAAATACTAGCACAGTTATATGTGATTTTACTTCTAAGAATGTAGCATCAGAAAGACTTGTTTGAAACCTAAAATCCAGTGTTGAGGAAGTATTCAGATCCTTAACTGAAGTAAAAGTAGAAATACGACAGTATTAAAATACCTGACAAGTAAAAGTCCTGCATTAAATATATGCTTCATCAGTAAAATGTACTAAAAGTAGGTGCCTTTTTATTTAATATTACAGAAACATCTGTTGCAGATTAATTTTCTTTTTTGTGATTTGATGTAATGCCTGTAGCCATTTTTATGGTCTATGATCATAACCTACAGTAAATGCTCATTGTTCTGTATTTGAGGAGGCTATTGTGATAAGAGTTCTGCTGACCTCAAGTGGTGCTCATGCAACCTACAAAAATCTATACAACCCGACTGGACACGGGAAGATACAAAACACATTTAACACCACATGAACATTCCCCATGTTCACTAACATGGGAAGATACAAAGCACATTTAGCACCACATGAACATTCCCCATGTTCACTTCCAGTATTGACCTATGTGGCACCCTGTGTGGTGCAGTATCTTTCTGGTTGGAGCCACCATCTTGCACACACACATACCAGAGGAGAACAGATGGAGCCGTTAGCAGTCAGAGTGAAAACTAATGAATGAGCCCTGCAGTCACATCTACGTTTCATCCGAGGTCTGATGTCCACTAAAGCGCGCTGAAGCATTATTTAAGGTGTTAAAAAATTACACAACATGTTTATGAAATTGATTTTATTCTGCCTTCGTTACAATTCAAATATTTACGACTGTTTATTTGGTTGCTCTTGTTCTTATCAGGTTTGTTTCCAAGTCCCACAGACACGCCCCTCATATAGAAACTCAGGCACACCACAGCTGTCACACTTCTGACGACAGCCGCGCACACAGGCCGCCTGGAATTAGGTCAGACAGCATAACACCGTTGTAAACACAGCAGAGATATGCTTTCTCAATACAAACTTGTGGGTTAAACTTGTTTTCTTGTCAAGAATTAGATGAGACCACTTTAGCAATGCCAGGCACCATTCAATTTCCATACATGGTTTGTGCAACTTGTCAGAAAAGAAATGAATTGTAAAACTAAAACAGAACAGAACTTACAGTACTATACGTACACCTGTTCAGCCACTTTCCGCTGTAGTACTATTGATCTCACATGTTTAAATTTTCAGCAGAAACTCACCAGCACACTGTAAAGAATTACATTTGAAACAGCGTCATAAAGTCAGATACAAGATAATTACCTTGCACCAAGAGTCATTATTCATGTCCGAGGATGATACTGTCATGTTCTCACACTCACTGGAATTTGCTGGCTCACAGTGCTGGTAACACAGCACCATAGTAACACAACAGTATTAAAAAAAACCCCAAAGCAAACTCACCTAAAAGAAAACATAACCATTAATCTGAACCTTTCTTGCCCATTTGTTTGTGGAGTGGTGCTGTAAATATTGAAAGTATTCAATTAAACATCAAGTAGAAAAAAATAAACAGGATTAAAGTATTAAAGTAGTTCATGAAGCATTCTGGAGAATAGGAGGTGTGTATTTGCAGAGGAGACGAGTCAGCAGTGGTCATGTGAAATGCAACTCACTGGACTGTGTGGTGAGATCAAACCAGTCTGTGACCATGCTGAGTAACATTTCCTAGAGAACACCACGTAACGCTGAGTAACTTTTCTTATGAGACACTGTGTAACTCACTGCAAATAATTTCAGCTGTGACATTTTTTGTTGGTTTTTCTGAAAATGTATTTAAATGACAGCAAACATACAGCAGACATTTATTGATACAAATGGCAGGAGCAGACTTTAATGACTTTTTCATGACTTTCTTAATTCTAAATTTAGATGCAGCATTAATACAGATACTGAAAAACCCAGTGAAAGGCTGGCAGATTGGAAACTCCCATACAATGAAGCCCTTTCATTTCAGCTGAGTCTCGACACACAGGCTCGGCTGTTCTGCATCTGGAGCTCAGAGGACGCTCGGCTCCGAATGCTCAGGTCAAAAAACATCCAGCACAAGTTCTCCTTGTCCTGAACTGAAACCTTCAGTAATATAGGAGGCTGCTAATATTGATGAGTAACAATAATCTGCATAGAGGAATGTGTGATGCTTTTGTGAAGGCTTTCAAACATTGTTACTGTGCACTTTAGCAAACCTAGTGGTATTATTTACATGATAAACATTCCTCCAAAACATGCAGTACACGCAGTCCTTCCTTTTCTTCAGTGTCAAGTTCTGATCAGCCGTTATCACCAGCCTCTTGCTGGTGTCACAGTGTTTTTTCCAGAATAGCAACCATTTAATTAGCACTGTGTGGTCAGCAGCTCCAAATGAGCAAGTGAGTGCCTGTTGCTCCACAGCACTGGAAAAAAGCATCCTTGCCAGGATACAGTCAGCTGAACACTCATCTCCAACTTGTGTTTATCGTAAATCCAGGAAGCCATCTTCAAGTTTCAGACAGAGTAACCCTTTAAGTTACAAACTTATGTGCTCACGCTTGATCTAACACAGCCAGAGACGCACTCCCTTTGAGCAGGCACAGAGACACCTCCTGTCACACGCTGCTGTCACTGTGAGACAGAAGACAGCAGCTTCACATGAAAGACAAAATCCCTCATGGGAAAACAATTCCCAGATTTGTGGACGCACACAGACTTCTGCACACTCCTTATACAGCATCGGTGTGTGGTGGCTCTGTTGAGTCTGATGTTAGAGGTGTGTGTGTCTCACTGTGTGTACGTGTCTCACTCATGCTGTGCTTCTCTGTCCCATTTCTCGGTTCTTCTCTCCGTCTTCCCCTCCGCCGGCACAATCTGGATCTACGACTGATGGACAAACAAATACATAAAATACTGTACAAGTACCAAGAGCCTGTCATCTATAGTATAAGGAGCAAAACCGCAGTTATTCAGTCATTTCTATTTCAATCCCTGATTCCTAGGGAATAAATCTGAATTAATTTAAAAATTGTTGATCATGACATAAACTTGTATAGCTGCTACAATTAAATGGATGATCATGCCCCTGTTTCTAGTCTTTAAGCTAAGCTAACTGTCTCCTGGCTCCTGGTTACAACTATGATCTTCTTATCTAACTCTCAGCAAGACAGTGAATAAGTGAGGCTCCTAAAATTTCAAAATATTCCTCTAACTGTTTTCTACATACAGTAGGTAAATCTCCCATGTCAGGGAGATATTATCCTCATATAAAGACTTACTGTAAAAAGATGCAGATAAATACAATCAGAAGAGTGAGGATAAGGAGCCCAGCAATGACACCGGCAATGATGATTTGTCGGTTCTCTGCTATTTGCGGGTCCAGGTCCACATATTCACACCTTGAGCCAATGTAACCAGGCTCACACCTGACACAAAGGCAGAACAGAGAACTTTTATGGCTTTTATTTTCTTGTGAAGTTCTGTCAGTTTTCTTTGCAGCTGTCTGTTTGTCTGCTTCATCAGATTTGCAGTATTAATAAATACGACACCATTCAAAACTCATTATTTGTAGGAACATTATGAACAATGAATCAACCTTGTTGTTTTATCTACATTTGATTTGTAGTGAATTCAATTCATTGTGTCTTTGTTGCAGAGTTTTAACTTCACATTTCTCCTTCCCATCCTTTTTACAGCTCCATCTCTCTCTCATTCACCAGTATCTCCATCTTTTATTACAATACATCTCTCACCTGCAAGACGGTGCCTCATGTTCTATAATGTAACGGCACTCCCCGTGGACACAGTAGGTCTCTTGCTTCTCAGGACATTTTGAGAAGTGACTATTCTCCTGTCTTGTATCTATCAGGTCTGCAGGAGAGATGATAGTATTTGAAATTAGTCTCAGTGGTTTAACTGCATTTCATCAACAGTCAAGGTTGTCAGGTTTGCTCGGCCACTCTGGCCACCCTCACCTTTCCTACTGTCTCTTGCCCATTTACACTAATCACGTTCACCTGTTCCTCACTCCCTTATCACCAGCTGCACTTGATTAGGTTGCTCACTATATTACCCGGTTTCACTCCTCAGTCACTTGCCAGTTCGTTCTAGTCTCTAGGCCA